ATATATATATATATAGGGACCTTTATGGTAAATGGTATGTCGGTTCATGTTCTTTTGGACTCGGGAGCTACCCGATCGTTCGTATCTCTTGCGCTTAGCAAGAAGTTTCGGGATGCTCCGGGGAATTTGGACTCCCCGTTGGAGGTTGAGATTGCGGATGACCGCACCGTGAGTGCTGCAAGGGTATATCGGGACTGTGTCCTGAATGTGTTTGGGGAGAGGTTCCGTGTTGATTTGGTTCCGATACCATTGCGAGGGCTGAAGGTAATCGTCACAGTGGGGCAATGATAGACTGTGAGCGTCAGCTGGTGAGAGTTCGAACCCAAGTGGGGGAGAACTGGTTATTCATGGGGAGAGGTTCTCGCAGGTTCGAACCCTCTGTTCAGCTGCGAGGGTTAGGAGACTTCTCCATCATGGTTGTTCGGGATTTTTGGCGTACATATCAGATACGAGGGTTGAGTCCACGACAGATTTGGGCAGTGTACCGGTTGTACGAGATTTTCGGGATGTCTTTCCCGAGGAGTTGCCTGGGGTGCCTTCGGAGAGGCATGTATAGTTTCGCATTGATTTGGTGCCAAGTGCTGCTTTGATAGCCAAGGCACCGTACCGACTGAATCCGCCCGAGATGAAGGAACTGTCTACGAAGCTTGAGCAGCTGCTGGCTTGAGGGTTTATTCGTACGAGCAGTTCCCCGTGTGGAGCACCGATCATGTTTGTGAAAAAGAAGGACAGGTCACACAGGATGTGCATCGATTATCGGGAGCTGAACAAGCTAATAGTGAAGAACCGTTATCCACTCCCCAAGATCGATGATTTGTTTGATCAGCTTCAGGGCGCATCTTGGTTCTCCAAGATTGATATTTGGTCGGGATACCATCAGATGATGATTAGGGAGGAGGATATCCCGAAGACAGCTTTCAGGAGTCGATACGGTCACTATGAGTTCGTGATGATGCCATTCGTGCTCACCAATGCCCCAACAGCGTTCATGGACCTCATGAACAGGGTGTGTAGACCGAAGTTTGACCGGTTTGTGATCATTTTTATCGATGATATCTTGGTCTATTCTAAGACCAAAGAGCAGCACGAGCAGCATTTGAGGGAGGTATTTGAGACTTTGAGGGCGGAAAAGCTTTATGCAAAGTTCTTAAAGTGTGATTTCTGGTTACGTGAGGTGCAGTTTTTGGGGCACATCATCAACCAAGAGGGTATTTTGGTTGATCCAGCCAAGATTGAGGCAGTGATGCGATGGGAAATACCGAAGAATGCATCTGAGATCCGTAGCTTCTTGGGCTTAACGGGTATTACCGGAGATTTATCCAGGATTTCTCCAAGATTGCGGTACCTTTGAATCGCTTGACCAAGAGGAATGTGACTTTTCGGTGGGGCCTAGACCATCAGTTGGCTTTCAAGACACTGAGACAGAGATTATGTGAGACCCCGATTTTAGTGCTACCGAGGGATTGGATAATTTGGTGGTGTATTGCGATGCGTATATCATAGGGTTAGGGGTTGTTTTGATGCAGAGGGGGCATGTGATTGCGTACGCCTCGAGGCAGCTAAAGAGATCACCATGAACTTCATTACGAAGTTACCAAGGATGTCAATGGGTGTGGATTCCATTTGGGTCATTGTAGATAGGTTGACGAAGAGTGCCCATTTTATTCTGATCCCCGAGAGTATCTCTGTTAAGAAATTAGCAGATATCTATGTGCGAGAGGTGGTGGTCATGTTGGATTAATGTCTAAGTCCATAACTATATTTGGTATGTATTTGACCCGACCCGGCATGATCCATTTGGGTTGCACTTCACCGGCACAATTTATATGGATAGTCTTTTGAGAAT